AGGGATACCTTGTACACTGTTAGTGGAAATGTAAATTAGTATAGCCATTATGGAGGTTCTTCAAAAAACTAAAAATAGATATAATTGCCATATGATCCAGCAATCTCACTATGGTATTATATCTAAAGGAAATGAAATTGGTATGTCAAAAAGATACTTGCACTCCCATGTTCGTTGCAGCTCTATTCACAATAGCCAAGATACGGAGTCAACCCAAGTGTCCATGGGTGTATGTGGTATATATACACAATGGAATACTATTCAGCCCTAAAAAAGCAGAAACTCATGCAATATGCAATAACTTGGATAAACCTAGAGGACATTGTTAAGTGAAATAAGATAGGCACAGAAAGACAAATACCATATAATCTCTTGTGATTACTTACATGTGGAATCTAAAAAAGTCAAACTCCCAGAAACAGAAAGTAGCATGGTGTTTACCATGAGATGAAGAGGGGAGGAGGGCTGATGTTGGTCAAACAGTACAACATTTAAAATTTCAGTTAGGAGGCATAAGTTCAAGAGAACTATTGTACAACATGGTGACTATAGTTAACAATGTATTACATACTTAAAATTTGCTAGAGAGTAGATTTTAAGTGTTCCATTACAAAAAAAAAAGAGGTAATGCATACATTAATTAGCTTGATCTAGCCATTCCAGAATGTGTATGTATTTCATCACATCATATTGTATACCATAAATGTATACAATTTTTATTTGTCAATTAAAAAAAATAATTGGCACAGACTCTACAACGCTTAACAGAGACCTGATTAACATTTGAAGGCCACACCTTTGGAAAACACTAACTGGAAGACTTTAATTATATATGTACTTAACAGAAAGGAAAAAAACACCATAGCTTTTCATTTGAAATTTTATTAAAGAACAGAGTTAAGAAGTTTTGAGTTTTCTACATAGGAAAAGACTGGTCAACTTCAGATGCTTTATAGAAAAATTAGCATTCAAAAATGAAACATAAATCCATAACCTTCTTTGTGACAAAAAGGAGAAAATAACTATTTTAAAAAGTTACCAAACTTCTAACCATATCAGAGACCATTATAAATTTCAAACAGTAGATTTACCACACATGTATTTTCAAATTCTAATATAGCAAAACGTAACCACACAATTTGGCTACAAGTAATTGTTTCAGAAAAGTTTAAAAAATTAACAAAGGTATGACTATAAAAGTTTTGTACATTTTTTTTTGCAAAGCAAAAAAAGCTTAAATCTTTAATAAAGGAAAACAAAACAACCCTCTTAAATTTCTTATAAATAGCTCTCAAGACATATATTACACATCTGCTTTAGGCTTTCTTTACCTGAGAGAATTTCCCAGGGTCCTTTATCCCAAAGGATCACCTTAAAGAGTTCTTCCATCATTTTACCTACATGGATATAATTAAATTTCTATAGAAGTGGATTTGGACACATACATTCTTAATATGTTCTTCCCAATTAAGTTTTTTCTAAAAGCATTTTGCTTTAACACAAAACGAAACAAAACAAAACCTCTTTGGTAAAAGCCAAATATTTCAATCTTTCTTTTTTTTTTTTCCTTTTTGTCTTTTTTACTGACTGGTAACGGGATCGCAACCCTCGGTGTTGCGCCCGCACCGTGCTCAGCCAGTGAGCGGGAACCGGTCTCCACATGGGATCCGAACCCTCGGCGGGAGCGCCGCCACACTCCCAAGCGGCACACTCTCCAGTGCGCCACCGGGCCGGCCCTCAATCTTTCAAAATGACTGCCTCTACAAATGATTTACTGAGAAAGGAAAAAAAAAAAAATTCTGAAGATCTGTGTGAACAGCTCTCCAGTCTTGTGTAATTAAAGGTCATTTGAGAGCCCATCTCTGCCTGAAATGCAAAACTGAAGTTCATTAGCAAGTTAAGGAGCGCCGCCACACTCCCAAGCGGCGCACTCTCCAGTGCGCCACCGGGCCGGCCCTCAATCTTTCAAAATGACTGCCTCTACAAATGATTTACTGAGAAAGGATGGCAAACAATTCCTTCAGACAATTTCTCAAGGAACAGTGATAACAAAAACAACAACCAACCAACCAGTATCACAAAAGCTCAACCTGGTAAGGTCGAACCTGGTAGGGTCATACTTTTATGACAGAAATAGTCTCTAATCTTTAGTCGGGTAACAAGTCTAGGTACAATGACATTCCCATAAGAATCCCTCTCCCTGCTTAGTGTTTTACTCGTGAAAATGAGAGGGGGAAATGTCCCACATCACATGAATGACAGAGCAGAAACAGACACACAGTTTTTAAAAACCTTCTTCAGCTTTCATCATTAAAGGAGTCTGACCAGCAGCTTCTGGGAATGCACTTTCAAATCATGTACAAAAAGTGTAGGAAGCAAAGGTCTGTTATTTTAAAAAGACATCAGAGAGTTAATCAAATTAACAACATTGTTACAGCAACTCAAAGCAATGGCACACGTTTTCCAGTTTCTTAGATCACGATAGCACAAAAACATTGGTTCTTTAAACACATGAATGTGGACTCATCACCTGAGTATTGCTTATCACAATTAATAATCAGTAAGGTCAACTTATGTATATGCCCTCCATCCTCAGAGTACATCTTTTTTGATAATCCAGATAAACTTTTAATGTTTTCAGTTGAGAATAAAATTCAGAGTGACTGTAACTTCTTGCGTCAGGCTAACTTGCAGAAGGAAACTTTATGCCACAAACCAAGACCTACACAACTAGAAAATGTGGGTTGGCTGAGCTGGCTAAAGAAGGAAGCTCAAGAGGCCTGCCTCTGCAACGTCTTCTGCTTGTGTTTCCCTGAGTTCTTTCTGCAGAGGAAAGGGGGCCAACAAAGGCCAGCCAAGGAACATATGGCCTTGTCCCTGACATCCTGACCTGGTGTAAGGGCTAGCTCTAAAGTCACACCTGCTGGCTGCCAGACCCAAGTCGAGGGCACTGCTAGCCTTCAGCAAGAGGAAAATGTAATGCAACGTGTGACGATACCACCCTGGCTCCTGAGCTGCTGCTTCTCATAATGCTCCCTCAAGACAACTTCAGCATACCCAAAGCCCCCATGTCTGCACCAATGTGGCAGTGCCCCCTGCCAGGGCTGCACACACAGCCCCACTTCCTGAACCCATTCCTGCCCACAGAGCTCCCACACCATAGGCTCAACTAGGGTTTCTCAGGTTAGCACGTGACTTCATTTTCTGACTCTGGATGGATCTTTGAACTGCTGAGTACAAAGAGCTACTGTGCTAAAAAAGGAAATTTGATAACGTTTACAAAACAAGGCTCTCTTACACAAAGTGTCTTTCCTGCCAGGGCTGCACACACAGCCCCACTTCCTGAACCCATTCCTGCCCACAGAGCTCCCACCCCATAGGCTCAATTAGGGTTTCTCAGGTTAGCACGTGACTTCATTTTCTGACTCTGGATGGATCTTTGAACTGCTAAGTACAAAGAGCTACTGTGCTAAAAAAGGAAATTTGATAACGTTTACAAAACAAGGCTCTCTTACACAAAGTGTCTTATAAAACTGAACCTCAAACACTGTAAATAAGGCAAGTTTTTATAGAAATTCATCCCTGTATTTGTTTCCCCTTGGTTTTTTTCTTGGAAGGAGGGCAAAGTTGTGTGTGGAAATGAAGAATCTGACTAATTTCCCTGACCAGCATTTTGGCACAGGAGAGCCCAACATAGGTGGGACCCAATTCTGCCCAACTCATACAGGAGGCCAAGTCTTTTTATTCTCAGACCCTCTCTTCCAAGGAGCTCGAGAAGATTCTTTCCACTCCACACATAATACTAAGAGGAGAGTCCCCACTGACTCTCCACTGGTATCTTTAATGGACTTTGCACCGAGGAAACCTCTTCCCAGACTGAGAACATCAACACTGAAAATGGACATCTTCATGGGTAGCTAGCTGCCAAAAGTCCAATCTCTCATGAGTATTACTTTATAAGACTGTGTTTTGGAAATTTCTGTGGATGTTGTCTATGGCTCACTTCAGTACCCTCAACCACCCACCTTTTCTTCTAAGTATATTTGGCCACTTCCACAATTCTCTATTAATGATGTGGTCACATTACAGATCCGGAAAACAAAAGCTCTTTTGCTTTTACAATTTCAAAGGCCCCGAGGTGGAGGAGAAGCTGAGGGGTGGACTTTAACTGCAAGAGGGCTACAGCAGGCTTCGGTCAAGAAGCAACTTCTCAGTTAAGGCCCGTAAAGTATTATCAATATTAACAGCACAAACAAGTAAGAACTACAGCTCTCCATTGCTTAGGCAAAGAAAACAATGTGAATACTCTTCCATAATTATGTGAGTAACAACACACATAAGCGCCATATTATTGCAGTAACTCAGATCAGGTAGTGATAATATGGTTGGGGGACCACATGCGGGGTTGATGATAATTGTGCTTTTTCACATTATTACAATGATGCCAAACCCAGAAAAAGTGAGGGGACCTCTGGGAAGGGCAAGGGCACAGAGTGCAGTCTGTGATTCCCAGCATCACAAACGCAAAGGGAAACATTTGGGGGCCAGGAGGAAGCAACACTGAGGGTGGAGTTCAAGAGCAGGTGCTTCCTCTTGTGCCCTAGAAATACCAGGGAGCAGTGAGCAGGGCCCTGCAGGCAAGTCCTGTCCTCAGAGCCCACTGGGCATGAGACTCTAGGAGACAAAAGTGTGTGAGAGAGGTCTGGATTCTGTCAGGGGCTGGGAGCCTAAGATTTTGGCATGTTTTTCTATTCCAAGGACAAGAATGACAGGCCACACAAAGTAGGATATTAACCCTATGAAAAGATGTGCCCCAAACTCTGTTTTGGTAAAAACATGCGGAAGGAAAATACTAACATAATACCCGGTTTCTAGGAGTAAGACATCAAAAAATATACATTGCCCATGATCAGCCTGGTTGAAAATTTCACTTCTTTTGAAATTTTGGTAGTTTCTTTTTGAATTTCAGAATTATAAAGCTGATCAGATTTTTTCTTTTCCCCCCCTGAAAGGTTTTTCAGACCTACTCAAGCCACCAGGAGATGTCAGCTTTTCACAGGGCTCCAGTCACTGTTCAACCCTCTGGGACCCTTGTTTAAAGGATGGCACTTCCAGCCTGCAGGACTGCTAAACCAAGGGGATTGCCGACATTGTCACACAGAGAACTGCCGAGAGGGACAGCAGAGGGGAGCGACCAGTGTCCACAGGTACAGCAGCACACACATCCAGCAGGAGGCCATCTTGACCCAGAAGATGGACCAGCTCCCACTGAAGAAGGTCTCAATGTTGGCACTTTCATAGCTGTGGAAACAGGAGACCCAGCTGTGGTCAGAGCAGGAAGAGAATTTGGGGGGAGGAAGTCTCTTCCACCTAGTGTCTGCCTGCTTCCCACCCCCTCCAGTCTTTCCTTCTTTTTTTGATCCACACTCATTTAAAGTGTACAATTTAATGGCTTTTAATATGTGCCACCATTACCACAATCGATTTTAGTACACTTATCACCCCCAAAAGAAATCCCATGCCCCTTAGCTGCCCTTCCATTCCCACCTCTGACCCACCCCACCCCCACCCACCACCCTGTATTCACAAACCTACTTTCTGTCTCTACGGACTTGCCTATCCTGGACATTTCATATAAATGGAATCAAACAATATGTGGGCTTCTGTGTCTGGCTTCATTCACTTAGCAGTGTTTTCAATGTTCATCCATGTTGTAGCATGAATCAGTGCTTCATTCCTTTTTATTACTAAATAATATTTTATTTATGGATACAGCACATTTTGTTTACCCATTCATCAGTTGATTGACATTTGTACTGTTTTCACTTTTTGGTTATTATGAATAATGTTGCTACGAATATTCGTGTATAAGTTTCTGTATAAGTTTCTTAAAGCTGCAGTAAGCAGCACCAATTTCCAGGGTTAAAAGCTGCCAATCGACTGTTAAGAAATCAGAACTGTTTCCTGTAAAGGTTGTGAGTGTGGCAGGATTTAGGTAAGAGTTTAGTTATCTCCGGAGATTTGATCTATGTCTCAGCACTTTAAAGAACAGTATTTAACTCTTAACTTGATTTTTTCTTTTTTTAAAAGACTACTTCTTCTAAAACACCCAAGCAAATAGGCACTCACTTGAACCAGTGGGTGACAGTCATCATCGCATAGAGGGAAGCCAAGAAGAACACAAAGTGGAAATAGGAATAGCTGTACACGGTGCCTCTCTTCTCGTCATAAATGACCCATGGTCCCTCCTTCACATTCTGCTGCTCTTCAGTGTCTGTGAATCCCAAAGGTAGCCCAAGTTCAAGGAGGAAACACGTGCACATTCTGGCAAATCATACTCACTCATTTCAATCTCAGGGCCATTGAGCAGAAAAGATGTCAAAAGCCATTTGTACCCTCAGGCGACTTTTATCTGTGCCCCACTCCAGTAACCTCTTTAACAGGATGAGCTACCTAACAGCATATTTATTTCACCAGAGGAGAGGAAAGAGAGCCCTTAAAAACTTCAAACTTATTATAAGCTTAGAAGAAAGTGAGAGAGAAAGCAGACAAGAGTTCTCAAGCCCCTGGGATTCTCCAATCCAAGAAGAAGAGCGAGATGAAGGAAAGAAATGGTCCCAAAACGAGGAGTCGGGACCTCTTGGTATTTTCCAAATCATTCCTTTAAATAGGAGCCAAAATAGAGGCTGATGCTCCCTGCCAGAATACCAACACAAACAAGCAAAACCCAGCCAGCCTTGGGGATGAATGTGAAAAGCACAGAAACAGCAAACCAGCTTTGGACAAACATTTTCCCCTTACATTCCAGTTATTTGTGTCTGAATCCCAAATGCCTACAGAACGGAGCTACCGGTCTGCAGGGCCACCAAGACGCATAGGATGAAAGTTCTCTACTTACCTTCTCCATCGGGACCAAAGCAAAAACAACACCGGGCTACCTGTGAGAGCAAAAGCCACAGAGTCAGGCGGCTTGTTTTCTGCTCACGGTCTCCATACCAGTAAAGCACGAGAGGCCACCTACGAGCCAAACCTTCCCCTATCTAAAGCTCATGTCAGCCCCTGAACTGTACTTATCCCTTCAAAAGGTTTTGACTTAGCATCTGTTCTCCCCCAGATGTGCCAGTGACAAGAAGTACCATGAACACGGAGATGCGGACTCAGTGCTCACCCCAGCTACTGCCACTGTTGGGGGCAGAGCCATCAAAGGCCAGCGCCTCAGAAATCATCCCCCATGGGATGACTGATCACAGATGGCAGGGGCATAAAGGCCCAGCCTATGACCTCCTGGGGACAACTCTAATGGGTCGTACATCTCACCCCAGCTACTGCCACTGTTGGGGGCAGAGCCATCAAAGGCCAGCGCCTCAGAAATCAACCCCCATGGGATGACTGATCACAGATGGCAGGGGCATAAAGGCCCAGCCTATGACCTCCTGGGGACAACTCTAATGGGTCATACACAGCGCCTCAGAAATCATCCCCCATGGGATGACTGATCACAGATGGCAGGGGCATAAAGGCCCAGCCTATGACCTCCTGGGGACAACTCTAATGGGTCGTACATGCTCTGGAGCACCCCTGGGGTTGGTGGGCTTTGTTCAGCCCGCACTGTCCCACTGCCTTCATCTTAATATCCTCTACCCAATTTTGCCTCTTTCCTCTTCCTTCCTTCCCTCCTTTCACACATGCTAATCCCTTATAAATAGCCAGCAAAGCAAACTGCCTCAGCGTCTGCTTCTGGAGAACTCAGCATGAAACACACGGTGAACAGGATGAGGGCCCCACTCCCCTGGCATTCCCTTCACGCTGCTTCATTAATTCCTCCTCAACCTTTGAGGCCGGGAATATTTTCCTGTTTACAGCTGAGGAAACTGAGGTTACACAGGTTAAATAACTGGCCTGAAGTCACTAAGCTAGCTTAGTGACAGAGCTGGGACACAAATGCAGGATGGGGACTCCAAGGTCCATGATTCACAGTAGGTGACATGCAATGTATGAGACGGTGAAGCCAAAAGAATCCAAAATGATACAGCTGAGGAATTTAGAAGCAAGCAGGAGGCCTACCACATTTCCTATTAAAACCAGGCTGCTGAACTGGCTGTGGATCGGAATGGATGGGATGCTTGCTTCTGAAGCATTTTTCAAACCTTCCGAATTTCATATCATATTTCTTACCCACTCAAAACAATAAACTTCACTTTTTAAAAATCAAGTTATAAAAAATTACTACCTGATTCCAGCAGGACTCTGGTAAACGGAGTAAGAAACACTACATGTACCAAGACAGCCTGGGAAGTGCTGTATCTTTGGCATTTTCTGGCTGAAGATATTTGAACTGGGGACTAAGGATCTGGGAGCCTGAGACTTCATGCCAAGGCCAAGCTCTTGTTTCCCTCCTGTGTGGCAAGGAAACTTGTAATAGAGGTATTACCCGTGACAGAATCTTGGATCAAGTGACATGGTCTGAGAATCACTAATTCATTCAGTGGGCCCAAGATGCGGTAAGCTGAGGTCCTAGTTCTTTTGAAGCTGAAGCAACCACAAGAAACTATTAACTCTCCCTTTCAAAGGTGTAGCCTGTGAAACATGATGCAGCAGAGCAAACCAACTTCCATTCTGCATGTTTGCCGGTTCAGAAGGAAATATTGGGACATTTTCCCTTGGAATGAGGAGAAAAACATCCTCTCTTAAATCTAACTTAGAGACTTGCTGTTCTTTGAGCTTTAACTCTGTACACAATGGAGACTTTGAGACTATAACCATTCCATCTCTGCAGGTGGTCTCCAGTCAATTCTCTTCTGCATAATAGGCAGTAACCTATTCAAACACAGCCCAGTTTTCTCCTCTCAGTGACAGAAAGAGCTGGTGAAGTGATGCTGGCAGACTGACAACCCTTCACACTAGATCCCTACCACCAGGTCAGGTGCAGTAAAGACCATCCCTAGAGACCCAGCTGCAGAGTAAGTGCCCATATCTGGACAGATACCAGGGCTCTTCCAACCAGAGAAAGCTCTTAGAATGCAGCCGGTGGCCAGATGCCAGGCAAGGTCAACAGCAAGGGCCAGGGACAGCAGCTGAGCTCATAGGCAGCAGTGGTCAAGAACACAGACTCCTGAGCCAGTTTAAATGACTTCAGTTTTCTGTTTTTCTTCTTTGCAAAATGGAGATAACAGTACCTCACTGGGAGTTTATTGGGATTGAATGAAATCACACATGGAGAGCTCAGAACAGTGCCTGGCACATGACAGGTGTAACATCTTAGGCATCACTGGAACCCCCAGTTCTTTCCATTCTTGGGGTCAGAGCTGAGTTTTTTCCTGGCTGCCTCCATCTGATTAGACCTTTCTGACCATGGTGGATGTTCCATTGAGAGCCCCAGAAAAAGACTTTTGCACAAGAAAGAAAATAATAGACATTTTATTGACCAAGAGGCACCTGCTGACCACCCCGATCCTCTGTATGTAAAGGTAAGGGCCTCCCATGCCTGAAACAAATGTATTTACTGCTTATAATTCTTTACCCAACTACACACCCACCTGGTGGAACTGATGCCCAGTTAAATGAGTTAATGTAACTACCATGTTTATCTGGCACAGAGCCAGTGCAGTCCCTTTCTTTTCCTGTCTTTCAGAACAGCTATGACATAATCTCACAGTCATGCTGGATATGGAGGGCACAGACAGACATAAGACAGATAAATGGACTAAAAATTAAACAAAACCACCCGCACTCCATTATGACTGAGGAAAAGAGCAAGATGCAGCCTGACAAGGTAACCTAAGCTCATGGCGGAGGTGGGGGACGACAGCAGGATGCCATGCAAGGGCTCAAGTTCGTTTAAAGAAAAATCAAGAATTAATTGGTTCATTTTAATTCCATACTGTATATAGGACATTTTTTTTTCTATACAAAAATCTTATACTTTCCCGAGGAGAAAAACAGGATCATGGAATACAGATTAATAAAGGCACAAATAAATACAAAAGGCTCCCCTGAGAAATGGGTCTTCTGAGACGAAGCAGGACAAGAAAAAGGAGGTACTTACTTCCAGTTCAGGAGCTGCATATCGCCCCTGCAGAGCATCAGAACTCGATCTTGTTGTCGATGTCAAACTAAGAATCAAACAAAAAAGTCAGCAGGGCACAGGAGTGTGTCACATCACATGGAAGGAAGGGGAGAGCTGGCTGGCCAATGCTCCCAGAGGCTCACTGTCCCCTACAGTTCTGGCTGCTTAAAAAAAAGTAGTCTTTTTCAATATCCCACTTTATCCCAAAACTGGCCAGCCCCCTCTATATTTGATGACTTTTTACATGGACTGCATTAGACCATTTTATACAAAGAGAATTTTGTACATCGAAAAATAAGTTGTCCTTTGCTCCTATACCTTGGCTTTTAGTATTGGTTTCTGCCTTTCCTCCCTCAAATGCCAGAATAATTTTCTGATTTTGCTTTTACCTTTCCCTCCCTTTGACTAGTCTCACTTAGAGGTTATCAAAAGCAATGAGAGAGCCAAGAGCTGGCAACAGAAAACAAGGGCGTGAAAGCAAAAGTCACAGTCCTTTCCTGTGATAGTCAGCCTATGGCAGAACAAGGTTTTCTGTTTGGAAATTTAACACAGAGCAGCTGTCGGTGCAATAAAAGAAATTCTTCCCGCCATTTTCCCTATACCTTGAGAGGTAAAATGTTAGAAAATTTGGCTTACAGGGGTAAAAGAAACTTATTTTTCCTGAAAACAAAAACAAAACCATGAAAATATTTTCAGCAAATATAAATATATACACTACTTAGGGTTTGAGCTAACTCCATGGATTCATTTTGCAAATATTTACTGTCAGGCCCTGTTCTAAGCACTGGGGCCTCATCCATGAAAAAGGCAATGACCATGGCCTCACGCAGCTTTCGAGCTAGCTGGGTGGGGCAGTGGAGCATGGCTCAAGAAGCTGGCTGCTGGTGGGCAGGAGGAATCAACAGCCTCATCTCCACCAAGTAACCCCTGAGCCACGCCACTCTCCCTGCTCATTCTCATCCTCTTTCCCAAGAAGAGAAGAGATCAATAAGATGCAGATGAACAAGAAAAAGCCTTCCTCACAAGGAGGTCCTGCAGGATCCAAGCACACTGTTCATACACGCAAGTACAACAGCAGCACTTTCCTTTCTGCCTTGAACTGACAGATGCTAGTCCAGGCCCACTCCTGATTATGAGCCTGGTCAGAGGAAGAACGGGAGCAGCTCCCAGTGGCTGTGCATCCAGGGAACACACACATCTGCTCCTGCATTTCAGAGTGGCCTCTCTTCTGTGCATACAAACTATGATTTAGTACAGTATATAGTTTCCATGAGGGGAGATGTAACTTTTAATTTTAGGAAGAGATCCATATCTGAAACTTTCATCTGAAAGATTACACTCCTTCTTTAGAACAGTTAGAATAAATATTGCATTTTACAAATTCTTTGGGTTAAAATGGTTTCAGAAAAAGAAAGCTTTTGGTTTTAGAACCTCTGCTACTTCACTTCCACCATTAGAGAGCACTAAAATGGGGAAGGTTTTGTTTTTACTTTTAAAAATATCTATGTTCGGTTCATCATTAGTGCCACGTGACTTCTACAAGTAAATATTACCTTAAATAAGGTCCTTATTCAGTCATAGTCTTTCCCCAGAAAATACTCCTCTTGGAATTATCAAGAAAAGATTATTTCTACAAGCTCTTTAAGCCTAGGAAATTCTTATTGTCTGTCTTCATGCTGTTACAAAGACCCATCTGTTTGGTTAGCACAGCACAAATTGCTACAAAACAATTCTCAAGTTGTTCATAATCTCTCCTCTTCCTGGGCTAAGGTGTGTGTGACTTTAGCCCAGTACTTCCTGTGGGGATAAAGGGAGACTATAATCGCATGGTTGAGACAGTGCTTCCTCAAACAGAACGTCTAATGCATCATGGCGTGTTAACCGTCTCTGGTCTCCACCCCCAAAATGCCAGCAGCGCTTTGTGGTCGTTGTGACAATTGAAAAATGCTTCCCCCCCTCCCCACCCAGGAACCACAGCCGTGCCTCTTCTGTGTTGGCAGAATGATGCACAATGCAGGTGCCCCTCAGCACCTGCTTCGGCTGCTTCTGGAACTGACCAAAGTCCTCTGGACCACAGATCATCCCTAAGGAATGTTTCCAAACTTTCCTATTGGAGATAAGAGATTCTGCTCCCCTGACAAACTTACTGGGCAGGCCTTTGACAATCTCATGACTATTCCCAACCTTTGTGTGATGAAGTTCAATCATGTTTCCATTGTACTATATAATCGGTGACTCATAGCTACCAAAGGAGACTAGAGTCCTATGTGAGCTGGGGAGAGGCCACCCATGTCCCTTGTGTAGAGCCATGAAGATTTCTAGGTGGCAGATTATGGAGTGGCTTCCTATAATTTCTATGAAGAATTCTAGATAATCCTGCGATCGTGTTCAAATGAATGTTCCCACTCAGATAAACTGGCATCTTTTTGTAACATCCTCCAACCTATTATTCCTAAGTCAGGAAGGAAAATGTAAACTCTAAGTCAAGATTTGAAAAACCCTTAACTGGACTGACTGCCACCCCTAGCAGTTTCCCATTTTTCCAGGCCCTGCTAAGCCTGAATTCACTTCCTTGAAAATGTGAAACCAATTTATTTGTAATGTTCTCAAAGCTGACTCCTCCTGGCATTGCAGTGGGTAATCATAGCAAACACCAATCCCCCTGCCCCCTGCTGCATTAACTCCTAGGAGGCACAAACCACCCATCCCCAGGGAGTGTGTTCTTGCCCCATGTATTACAGAAACACCCCATGGAGCAAACTGGTTATTCTTCAGCTCCACTCTGTGTGAGCTGCTGTTTTACTCCATAGGGCACTACAGCTTTGCAGTTTAATTACTAGCATTCAACAATGTTTATTGTTGGCATTTAGACAGATTTTAAGTAGCAGCTGTCAGCTCTGAAAAGTGACATCTTTTGGGAATAGTGCCTCAATTCTTAAAGAGACAAATTTATTTTTTTATCCTCTCAAGAGTAGACGCATAGGTGGCTAAAAAGTGATTCTTTACACCTGCTAGAAACAGTGAAAATCTGATAGGATGAAAATTCCATGCTGCAAAATAACTCTATATGGGGCATTTCTATATAACATAGTAAGTAGAATTTTTGCCATCTTCTCTATTGAAGGGTTTACAGCAAATGCAAACCCTATTTTAACTGAGGGACAAAAATTTTTTTTTTCATGTGCTGTTAGGCATCCAGCAACTCATAAAATCATATGATTTTATTCTGTCAAATACTTCCATAGTTTTTTTCCTGATAATACAAAAATGAAGAAAAGTGCTAGCATCCCACAAAAAATTTTTTTAGAATACAAAGAAGAGAAAAAAAAGTGTTATCCCTAATTCCACTACTATTGCAAGTTTAGTTTATCTCCTTCTGTGATTTTTTTCTATACATGTAAACACAACTATATTTTATTTTAAAAATGGAATAATTCCATATATACAGTTTAGTTACCTACTTTCTTCTCATTTGATTTACAAAAGTTTTTACATGCCAATACAGAAAATAACTGAGTGACAAATCATGAAATTGGCCTGTGTTGCTGCCATTTCTCCCCAAAGCCCAACAATAACAGACTCAGAAAAGAAAAGCTTACTCAAGAAAATTAAAGCTAAGAATCAGGATTCAAAATCTCGATGGCTTTATGGTTTTACTGAAAACATTCATTCACTTGAGCCCAAAATCCACCCAATGCTCAGTATATAGCAGATACTTGGTGAGCAATTTACAGAATTAATTAAAATGAAAGGCCAGAAAGTGGTCACCATGGTCCCTGCTGCTGCAACAAGGAGACTCTGTCACTATGTGATAGATAGACTGAGAATCAACGTTATACAACCATCATCTTAACCTGCAACACCAACAACCATTTTATGGTTTAATGTATAACTCCAAGCAAACAGACTCTAAAAGGCCTGTGTTCTTGTAAGTCCCTTTCTTACAGGAGGAGTCATTGGAAGCTGTAAAAGAAAATGCCAACGTGCTCAGAAAGACATTTTATTTATACAAGCTATCTCCACCAAGACTGTTTAGTTTCAGGAAAAGAATGATTATGATGTGTCTATGAAAAGCAGAGTTTTTTATACACCGAAACATAACAAACAAAACATAAAACACAGTAGTAAAAACTAAATATGAAAAGGTTAGTCAAAGGGAAGCTTAATTATCAGTGAAATATGTACCCGGAATAAGTAACTAACCACTTCTATCCTTGACCTTTCTACCTCTAGCAATCTTCTAAACTTTTTAAAGGTGGAATACGCCCCACAATAAGCATATGAAACAGCCTGCTTATATATCACACCTACTTTTGGAGGAGCTGCCTTACCTACTTAACAGCAGCAGCAGGGTTTCAGCAGAAAAGAAAAGGGACATTTCCTGTCTTTCCTGGACCATGTACAAAATGATCATGCATGCAGCACTTTGTACTCTTTCCACCAACAACAGAACAAATGCTATTTCCCTTGGATTAGGAAGCTGCCAGAATATTCTGGCACATACTACGTCTTCCTCACTTTGTGCTCCCTTGCCCTCCGATAATGCTGTAGCCACTAATATTCAACCTTCTTTTTAAGGGCGTTAGGCAGTAGTGCTGCAACATACCATGTATTTATTGCATTTACCCCGTATAAATACAAGTAAGGTAAATGCAATAAATACATGATTTGTGCAGCACTTCTAGATGAAGTTCAAACATCTAGAGTTTGTGCTGTAATACATACTATCTTTTTACTTCTGGCTATTTTTCCCTTACTCAGCTGGTATGTACTTTGCTGCCTCACAACCACTGAAACTTATTTCAATTCTTTTCCTATAATTTTAAAGTCTGCAAAAATGGTCTTAGTAGTGCCTAAGACTTACCATGAATATAAGATGCATGAAAACAAAAGGGCGGTACCCAATCCAGTAACCAAGTTCTCGTCCTGGTACAGGTTTTGACTGAAGCTGGGCGCACAGATTGTGAGGTTCTTCCCATGTTCATCTAGAACTTGTAAAGCAAAGCAAAGTAATCACCGTAAGTTAGAAAAGCTTGTTGCAGCTCACAGAAACACTCATTTTAGTAAAATTCAGGAACAAGACCCTTGGATTCCAGTTTAGTGCAAAATGGTTTGACAGTTCTAGGACTTAAGTCTTGTTCTTTTTCAATATGATTCAAGCAACAGTAAAAAGAAAAGTTAGACCATTTTTCACTTGACCGGGCAGCCTGTGAAGAGAGAGAGGTGGTGTGCAGACACCAACAAGTGCCAAGGCTGATCAACAACAGCCAAGCAACAGCCACCTGCCACCAGCCTCCTCGGCCCGATGAGAAGTCACTTTATGGTGGGAAATGTGATGGTCGTGACATCTTTCAGTCCTCCTGACATGGTCTGGGTTTGAAAAAAATGTTGAGAGGCTACATAACAAAGATTGCTATAACAGCATCATCAGTGGTAATCTAACTTTTATCTAACAGTCTCCAAATCTGAACACCCAAGTTAAGTCTGATCGCCAACTTTGCCCAGAAATAAGAAACATAAACATAAAATAACAGTCTAGAAACCATTTTACGAATACGCACATTCTAAGCGTCTGAAGTTACACTAAAATTATTAGTGGTATTGCACTTGAAAAAGTAGACATAACTGGGTATGCTGTGGTTTAAGGAATTCTTAGGCCAATAACAAATGTTTTTTCAAAAAATGATAAAAATATAAACTTTTCTATTAAAGTAGTTCCACCTAAAATTAAAAATAAAAGTTTCTGGTTTTAAACGATACCTGCCATTAAAAAAAACAACAACACTGCAAACAATCACCCCATTAAGTTAAAACTGGAGATTAAAACACAAACAGTCATAAAAGAAAGTCTGAAAGAGACTAGATTTTTTTTTTTTTCCTTTTTGTCTTTTTTCGTGTCCGGCAACGGATCGCAACCCTGTGTCGCGCCCGTACCAGACCGGGACCGGCAACGGGATCGCAACCCTCGGTGTTGCCCCTGCCCCTCGCTCAGCCAGTGAGCGGCTGGTCTGTATGTGGGATCCGAACCCTCGGCGGGAGCGCCGCCACGCTCCCAAGCAGCGCACTGTAGCAGTGTGCCACCGGGCCGGCCCCTGAAAGAGACTAGATTTAAATAAACTTACAGAGACAGGATAGGACTTTTATTAAAAAATTAAATCCAGGATAGATTATTCTTACTGTAAGACCTCCAACTATATCACTTTCTACTATAGATGACTATAAAGACAAGACCATAAAGAGTATATGTACATATTAATACTTTCAAAATTATCACTGCATCCACTTTCTAAAAAATTTAAGAGCACAAAACAACTTCAGTTTTCTATTCTAGAGACAATATTTATTCAACTAATAAATAAATACAAGATCAAATGTACCCAAACATACACACATTTATATACGTTTATGTGTACGTGTAAACTGGCTGAGTATCCCTTAATCTGAAAATCTGAAATCCAAACCTTTTTAACTGCCAACATGATGCTCAAAGGAAATGTTCATTCAAGTATTTTGAATTTTGGGTTTTCAGATTAGTCAGGCCCAACTGGTAAATATTCTGCAAATACTCCAAAATCTGAAAAAATCCAAAATTCGAAACACATCTGGTCCCAAGAATTTTGAATGAGAAATACTGAACCTTTATGTGTGTGTGCGTATACATTTATGTATCACAACAGTGGCAAAGAAAAAGATGATGAAATATAATGAACTTGGAAATCAAAATAAGAAAATTTGGTCTTTTACTGGTAAGGCTCAAGGGCTTATAACACCACCTTATAATATCATGTAATAGTACTTTTATAACAATAATAATAGCTAATCTTTATGTGGTACCTAAAAGGGTACATCAAAAAGTTCATAGAAAGATTCATATTATCTTTTAGTTTTCTATTTTTCCTTGGGCACCTTTGTCCGACTTGTTCTCGTATGAGACTTGGGACTGGGTGCAGACCTTGGCCAGAAAGAACGAGATTAGTCACGGGCTAGACCCCCCCTTAGGGTTCTATCTAACCATCTCTGCCCTAAAACTTTGCTTCCGTCCCGAGCATCAGGAAGGGGCAGAAAGGGATTGGGCGCAGTTCGATGAGGGAAAAGAAAAGGAAACGAAGCTGCCAATGCAAGGCCCTGAGCCATTGAGTGATACCTATGCCCCTACTCTGTACCCTTTTTGAACTTTTTGAAGTACTCTGGTACTACATGCCAGGAACTGTTCTAAGTGACTGATACACATGCATATAGATATTCTCACAGAATTCTTAAAACCACCCTATAACACAGGAATCTTATAAATTAATTATCTTATTAAAATAATAATTAAAATTCTTCTTTTAAAGACAGGTGCCTAGGCAGAGAAGGTAGGTAGCTTTGTGCAAGGTATTTAAGTAGCAGAACAAGGCTACAAACCCAGGCAGTCTGGCTCCAAAGCTCATGCTCTAACCATGATGCTCTGTTGTCTCTGTAAATAAATGTCATTTAAGATGAGCAATTTTAGGTCACACAGCCAACAAATGGTGCATATGGACTCAGATCCTATCCACTGCTCTGCGTCCCCATGTTCTTTCCACTCTCTCAGTCAGAGAAGTGACCACCTGAAGAAAAAGAAACTAATAACCAACTAAAAACAAAGCAAAATAAACAAAGCAAAACAAAAATGTTCCTTGAAAACACCACAAAATGCAGATCAGGCCTAAAAGCAATCTCAACAGCTCACCTTCGTTCAGGTCTTTCCTATATGACAGGAAGACTCAAAAGAAAAAATATTCATTTTCACAGACCAAGTTAAAAACTTTATGTCATGAAAAAGTCTAGATCATTTCTCTATTCTGATTTATTACACCCCTGATATTTAAACAATAGCTCCTTCCTCCAAATACGGAAATATTCATACCACAAGCACATGCCACACACAAGGCCAGCTTACCTACTTCTACAGGTTTGCTGGACAGAGCTGAGAAAGTCAGGTATGTGACATAGCAGCTTATGACCCCCGACTGCAGGAGCCCAGAGTGCGGCTGTCCTGGAAAATGACAAGAGACAGAGTAGAGACAAGTTTTAAATTTCAATGATAAGAAAGCACATGTCTCAAAAGCTAGATCCCCTCCCCTCCTCCTGAATGATACTCCTTAAACTTGGGTGCCCATATTTAAAGGAAAAAAAGAGGTACATAATATGTATCTCAGATAAAACTAAAAAGGTATTAGGGAGAAGGAGTTATATACTGAGTCTAAACCGCTATTTTAGAGCGCCAACATGACCACAGAATTATTCTAACATAAAAGGCACACAAAGGAAATGAGAGGAGATGAGACTCAAAAAAGGAAGGAAGAAAAAAGTCTAGGAGCCAAATAATAATTGATGGCAGGGAGCAGAATGAATTATATATAAAAAGGTAAACAGTGCTGACCAGCATGTGGGCGGGTGGGATGGTCCGATTTTTCTTCACTAGTCTTTTGGATTACATTATTAGTACAGGAAGGACTTTCTTACAGTTAATTTAAGTTTTTAGTGGAAGGACTTTCTTACAGTTAAATTTAAGTTTTTAGCCCCAAAGTTAGATCTTCAACCATACCCTCTCCCCTGAACTCCAGATTGTTTATTCAGTGTCTCCACTTGGAGTTCTGATCAGCAGCTCAAACTTAGCAAGTCCAGGTTAACTTCCCAATATTTGCACCTCCATCCCCCAGACCTGCCCTTGTGCGATCTTCCAACCTTAGAAAAGGGCAACTGATTCTTTCCATTATTGGGAGGAAGCGAGGAGGGAGGAAGGGAGGAAGGAAAGAAAGAAGGAAGGAGAAAAAAACAGAAAAGAAAACAAACAGGACTGCAGTCACTCTTGACTCTCCCTGCTGCTCTTCTCTCTCCCACCCCAGAGCCATCTGTACTGGTTCCATCTTCACAATAAAGCATAATCTGACTGCTGCTACCACCTAGTCCAAGCTCCCCTTCTCTCACCTGGATTATCTCCCCCTGGCCTCCTTCCTTTCACCTCTGACTCCCTCTAACTCTCAACTGAAAGCATAGACTAGATCACATTCCTCCTGTATCAAAGTCCTCTGGTGCCCTCCCATCTCACCTAAACACCAAAGCCTTCACGATCTGGCCCAGTGCCATCTCTCTGATTTCCTCTCCCTCACTCTTCCCTCACCACTGGGTTTCAGTCCCAGTGAAAGGGCCCAGCCCAGTCCTGCCTCAGGCTCTGCCTCACACTTTATCATGAAGCATTTCCAGCCCCCTCACCTGCTTTATTTTCCTCCAGAGCACTTTTTACCACTGAACCTATTGCATATTTGCTTGATCCTATGTTGATTATCTATCTCCCTGCAAAAGAATGTAAGCTCCACAGGGCAGGGCACAGTGTGGTCACTGCTATACTGCTACTGTCCAGAACAGTGCCTGGAAAACAATGGGTGCTTAATGAATATTGGTGCCAAAACTGTTAACTGTTAAAAAGTAACTCTCTGCAGCAATGTTAGCAGTGTGGCTGCCGCTCCTGCTGCTCCGGCTCCATTTGGTCTTCTCAACGGCACCTTGTTGTTTCCAGAGCCATCCCGAACAAGTACCAAGACTTACTCATCTTTACATTCTCAGTGCCTACCACGTTGTCTGGCACATAGTTACTACTCCAAAAATGTTGTTGATTAAATGCTAAATGAGACATACTTGAAAGGAGGACACCAGTAAAGGACCAGACCAAAGGACAGAGTCTATAGACACAGCAGCAAGCAGGCACCAGGGTGGGAATGCTAACTGGGCTCAGGCAAAGGGTGAAGGTAAAGGTTAAACAAAACTCAACCACTACAAGGGGATTTTAAATCTAGTACGTTAAGAGAATGGGTTTTCATTAGAAACATCTGAATATACTATCTACTTCTTATTTCAATTTTGATACAGAATTGATACTTCAAATCACAAAATTTGTCCTAGAAAGATAGAAACACGTTAAACGTCTAGTCTAACCACATCATTTCACAGTGTGGAAACAGGTCAGAGAGATAAAATAATATTCAATTTTGATACAGAATTGATACTTCAAATCACAAAATTTGTCCTAGAAAGATAGAAACACATTAAACGTCTAGTCTAACCACATCATTTCACAGTGTGGAAACAGGTCAGAGAGATCAAATAATACGCCTTAATGTGAAATAGGGCACATTAAATCTCATTTATGAGGGGCATTAAAATCTGCATTCTCCTGGTTTCCAGGCCCATGGCCTTTCTATAGCAGTGCTTTTGGGATCTTTTTCTTCAAGATGTTTACAAAAAGAGAAAAGAAAAGAAAAAAGTTCTTTGTTCCATCAAGAGCAATAAGCATTAGCAGTGCTTTTGGGATCTTTTTCTTCAAGATGTTTACAAAAAGAGAAAAGAAAAGAAAAAGGGAAGAAAAAAGTTCTTTGTTCCATCAAGAGCAATAAGCAAATTTTTCCTTTCTAGACTAACCTTACAAATAAGAATCTGTTTAAAAACACAGCAGGTGCTGGCCGGTTAGCTCACTTGGTTAGAGCTGCAGCTGGTAACACCAAGGTCAAAGGTTGGATCCCTGTACTGGCCAAACAACCCCAAAAAACAAACAAACAAAAAAAACGTAACACCAAGGTCAAAGGTTGGATCCCTGTACTGGCCAAACAACCCCAAAAAACAAACAAAAAAAAAATCTGCATTCTCCTGGTTTCCAGGCCCATGGCCTTTCTATAGCAGTGCTTTTGGGATCTTTTTCTTCAAGATGTTTACAAAAAGAGAAAAGAAAAGAAAAAAGTTCTTTGTTCCATCAAGAGCAATAAGCATATTTTTCCTTTCTAGACTAACCTTACAAATAAGAATCTGTTTAAAAACACAGCAGGTGCTGGCCGGTTAGCTCACTTGGTTAGAGCTGCAGCTGGTAACACCAAGGTCAAAGGTTGGATCCCTGTACTGGCCAAACAACCCCAAAAAACAAACAAACAAAAAAAACAACCAACAAAAAAAACCTTACCCAATTAGATAAATTTAAAGACAAATAACAATATTGGTGAGCATCCTAGCTTATTCCTAATTTTAGACAGATAAACCAGCTATAAATATGTTGACAAAGGGATTTTTGTTGGGATATTAGCCTCAAGTCTGGACAACAGCAATATTGTTTATTGCAAAGCTCTTAAGCCATTCCTTTTGAGTAGTTTCTAGAAAGTTTTCAAAGCAACCAAACTCTTCCAAACTGCTTGTTACAACTTGGCATCAATAATTAGTCCCAGAAAATGGCTTCAGAATCAATCAAAACATAAATGTCAGAGTGAGGAAGCACAAGTATTCTCAAGGGAACAAGCTATTTAATGGGCAAATCAGGCACTCAGTATCAAAGACATTAATATTTTACCATGAAGTTCCCTATTTGAAGTATATTCGTGAAAATTTTAAGATGACATTTATTTTGTCTAATAAAAAATTCAGAGTAGAAAGTACAAGAGGAATTATCATGGGAAGAGTAATATTTAATCAATTAAAAAGCATATCGAACTTAGTGTGGGTATTTCTTCTGTACAACAGAGAAAACAGGGTCACATAAAACTATAGTCACCCATTTAGCTTATATTTAAGAAAACTCTGCTACCTCAAAACAAGATCTAGTGGAGACTACAACATAAATTACCAGGTTTCAAAGATGACTCAAAAAGCAGACAGTGTGCAATAATTTATACAAGAGCACACCTCAATCCCAGAAATCTGTATAATTATAGAGATTAAGACTTTAAAAAATACCAAAATATATCTGTATTGTATTCTATTTGTATTCTATTCAATGTGTTCAATGTGCTGTAAATATTTTAAAAACTGATCATTGTATTTGGCTGTACTTAATCCAATATTTACCAAATAATAAAATGACTTAACACTACCTTTTCACTCACGTATTCCAACAACTACAACTGAAGCTCATGATTTGACCTTCAAAAGCAAAACCAAAAGAAAACTACAACTACCGAACTGAAGAATATATTCAGAATAAAAAGTATTGCAAGAATTCGGGTGTATTTGAATCAATATTGGGTGTATTTGGGTGAATATTGAGTGTATTTTTCAGCATAAAATAAAACAATCCTTAAAAAATCTACAAAATAACAAAAGCCTTATTTAGTACAACAGGCAATTATTTTTTTTATTTTATAAGTAAAGAAAGTAAGGCAGAGAGCAGTAAAGTGTTTTGCCCAGAATCACAAAGAGAGTCAACTTGGCCTGAGAACTCAACGGCTGGACCCTTGTCTAGTTGTCATTTTCTCAGTGTGGCTCAGCAAGAAATAAAACTAGCTATTAATAACTGAGCATTTCCCACTCAGCCTGGGATGTGAATTCTATTTTCAAGGCACTAGAAAGAGTCTATTTTTTTTAAACGGTAGGATAGCTTTCTAAGGTGGTGTAACAGATCTTCCTAATAAAGGGGTCCTGCCCTTCTTGGGAAGTTAATAAGAAATATTTTTCAAAAGGAGAGAACTATTTAATCTCATACTTCCTGCAGAAGATGAACCTCCAGCTCCAAAGTATGGATTTTGCTTTTTTTGTTTGTTTTGTTTTTAATCTCATAAGGATGGGAGCCTAAGACAAAGTCAAGTTTTCCACCACCACGACAATCACAGAGCCAGAAGCAATGAGTACCAGCAATGGGGTTGAGTGTGGCTAATTCATACCACTGGTTGACTTAGAGCCCAAACAAGAATGTGCAAGGAAAAAGAATGCCCAAATGTGCAAAGAGATAAAGTGCAAGAAGGAAGGATAGAAAAGGTAGAAACACAGTACCAGAGAGGAGTAAATGAAGGGGTACAAAAAGCAGGCATGGAGGGAAAGTGCCAGCAAAAATAGTTTTTGGTGTAAATAGGCTGCTAATTCCTGGCAATACAATTCAGAGTAGAGCTTTTATCAACTCTGTAGGCAGTTTCTCTGAGTCAATCAGTAAGTTCACTTGGAAGCTTTCCAGAAAGCAACATACCAGTTCTTGTTCCATTTATGTGCAAACTCCACGAGCAGGATGAGCTGGATGCCTATGAAGATGAAGCCTCCGATGGCTCCCACATAGCGCCAGGCTGCAAAAGAAGACCGTCCACAGGCGATGAGGCAGTCGTCCCATATTTGGCTCAACAGTGAGCAATAACCACAGTTAATTTTTACTAAGTGCTCATTGTACCTATAATACATTTAATTTCCACACAACCATATGAGGTACATACTACTATTACACTTATTTAACAGGTAGAGGAAAACTGAGGGTCTATGAAAGCTGACAAAGTCTCATAGCCAGTAAAAGCCATATTTGGGATTTGAACACAAGCAGTCTGGCTCTGGAGCATCCAAACTTACGCTACATGCTACAACTGCCAAGTATCCTAACAGATGCAGTAATTCCCCAAATCCACAATGACTCACAATTTAAAAGCAAAAGTATACATTGCCAGAAAAATCAAGGGTTCAAATTTTACTGGGTAAGGAGTCCAGGGAGGAAATGAGGTTCACAATGGGGGGACAAGGACTCAGGGCTACTTCTGGCTGTCACAAAGAAGCTATGACCTTGGATAAACCATGTCACATGGTTATCAGCCTGTCTGTAAAAATGACTAAGCTGGACCAGAGGACTTCTAGGTCTTTCCATTCTAAAAATACTATTCTGATACATAATATCTCTGTGGGACCATGTCACATGGTTATCAGCCTGTCTGTAAAAATGACTAAGCTGGACCAGAGGACTTCTAGATCTTTCCATTCTAAAAATACTATTCTGATACATAATATCTCTGTGGGGAATAAGAAAACAAAACAAAACAAAACAGCTAGTTAACATTATTTTAGGTAAAAACATCCTTAAGGAGTATGTGAAAAACTAGTATGACCCTAAAAAAAGTAGGTGGACACTGATACAAGGGACTATGGCTGTTCCTGATGAACTGACATAATGTGAATATCTTTAGTGTCTTAATGAGGAAAGTGAATCCATTTGGATTTGAACAGAATGTTTTAAACCACTGAAATTCAAGCTTCTCCCCCCGCCCCCCCGCCACCACGCTCATATGAAGAAGAGCCCATTTCAGCTATGATTAAGGGTTTTATATTCATGAATTTTGGTAAGTTCCATCAATGAGAAATATTATTCAATGTTACACAGCTTCACATAAGGTAAGTTTAGAAACACACTGGAGGGTATTGCTCTTGTCCCAGCATAGCGGCAGCAGATTGATTATTAGCTGCTAAAAAGCCCTGTGCTCCCTGTCCCTGGGTTTTGTGTGCAGTGCTCAGAAAGAAAGGTCTCCCTGGGCTGGTGGGGTCATGCTGACACGCCAAACTGGTTTTTAAACAAATTTTAAGTGCCTCATTTTCCCTTCAGGCCCCAAACCTTAAAATTATCATTTCAAGTTTTCAGCCAGCAGAGTAACAAAAGGTCCTTTTACACCCTGTCTGGAAGTGTATATGTTGGGAGGGTGGGGGTGTGCACATAGAGGAGTGGAGAGGATAAAGTGTAGGTAGGTAAGGCAGGAATTTTTTTTTAAGCCGCAAGAAAATCAGTAATTCAAAATATCAAAGACACCCTGGACTATGCCTTTGACCAATTCTACAAAACAGGAAAAAACGAAATAAACAGGCACCCAAAATACCCCATTTGTACCGTTCAGAAAGGTCTCCTGATCTGGAATGAAGAAAGCTCCTGAGCACATGGCCCCCAGTAGCAGAAGTTTAAAGAACCAAAAGCTGGAAGGGAAAAAAAAAGAGGAAATATATTTAAATGATATTCAGGAAGAACAAAAGACCTCTCAGAAGGTAAGTATGTCAATCCATGAATCTGCCATTGGTAATGTTCTCTCCAAATCAAGGGGAAGTAATTAAGTGACTGAAGAATGCCTTTTCCCATAATTAGACAGACTTGGAGCAGCCTCTTATTGTGCAAAACACCATTTCATTGCAGGGGTGGAAATTACCTGGGGGAAGGTGTTGGTACAGAAATAAACTCTTGTCTCCACTGAATTTCTCATTACAGTATCAGGTGTTACGAACAGAATTCAAGTTCGTAGGCCACTGTGTGGTGACAAGGATAATTTCCACCTTCCCCCAAATCAGTGTTATCAATTTCAACCACAGGAACAATTTAGAGCAACAATTTCTTTTTTTTTTTTTCGTGACCGGTAAGGGGATCGCAACCCTTGGCTTGGTGTCGCCCGCACCGCACTCAGCTAGTGAGCGCACCGGCCATCCCTATATAGGATCCAAACCCGTGGCCTCGGCGCTCCCAGCACCACACTCTCCCGAGTTAGCCACGGGTTCGGCCCTAGAGCAACAATTTCTAACTAGAGTTAGAGGATCTGATGAGTAGAAGGGGCCCTGCAATACTGTCTTGAATATAAGGAAGGGAGAAAGCAATCCCCAGGAAGACTGAAGACTTACCCATTGTGAATATGGGCTCTGCAGCTTTTGCTGTTGTTGACATTCAAGGTCAGCAGGCAGAAGAGAAAGAAGAAACAAGCCATTCCAAAACAGACTCTATACACTGCAGAATACCCCACCAGCTTCTCGCATGTGTCACCAGCTTTAATGCCTTTACAAATATCTTCAAAAAAAGGAATCTGAGGAGAAAGTTTAAAACAGTTATCTGTTAAAACTGGGTAAAAGAGAAGTGTCATGGAGTGTTCATTCAGTCTACAAGTCAAAATTCACTGAAATGGATCATGTGCAAAAATAACAAAAACTGAGGAAGAAAATCTATCTTCTGAAGACTTTCTCTTAGTTTTCTCTGAATCTTTTTTAAAGATACAGTACTCATGAAGTGTAACTCAGTCTTTACTTGTGCCAAATGATTTCTGAAATCCAGCACCAGAATTTCCAAAAATTACATAGATATATTTTTCTTAAAATGTATAAATATACAAGGGGTCTTTAAAAAGTTCATGGAAGAATTTGTATTATCTTTTAATTCCATTTTTCCACCAACCTTTTGAAGTACCCTCGTATAGACTAAAAAGTGAGAGACTTCCTTCATATTATCCCAAAATGTCACTCCCTTCCTCAGGAGGATTAATTTGGCAGGTAGGGTATTTCTATTAGTTTGTGAATATAAATGTGTATGCATGCATATACACAACACATCCACATATATACACAACAAACATACATACACTCATATGGCACTATATACATAGTAGATATGGTAGGGCACTTTGAAAAGGTCATGAAAAAATAGAATTAAAAGATAATACAATTTGCTTTGTACCCCATGAATATTCATAACCAATAAAAACAAAACAGAACATTAAAAATGAATTAATTAATTAAAAATAAATAAATTCAGTATTTCTCTGCTTAAAAAAATAAAATACAAATCTTTCCACGAACTTTTTAAAGTACCCTCATATACAAACAGCTTTTTTAAAAAAAGATTGTATTCAATGTTCTGCACTGTTTTTTTCGTTAACAATAAGCCATGGAGATCTTCCTCTATTAATATGCAAAACCCTACCCTATTCTTTTTAACCATTATATAATTTTTTTTTTTTTTATGTTTTAATCGTATATAGTTAAGGAGTACAA